TTTGTTTTATATACTAAAAATTGAAATTTTTAAATCATTTTTTGCTAGAAAAAAACAAATAAAGCATTTTTAAAAATTTTCCCAGGATATGCTGGACAAAAACATTTAGATTTAACTGGCTTCTGAATTTTGTTTTTCTTTCTTTCTTTTTTATTTTTCTGCATATTGTAAATCAAAGCGTTTTGAAGCAAATGTTAAGAGCTTGAAAAAATATCTGAAAAGAGATACATAAACAGAATAATGTCATGCAGAAGTTTACAGTAGAAAGTAATTTGATAAAACATTGTAGCCAACATTTGGTGAAAAACTTTAGAAACAAAACTCTGTGCGTGAAACTACTGTTTGATAGAGCAGAAATAATCCACCAGAAAAAAAAAGATTATTTTGGAGTTCTGTCATTTCTGCGTTTATTTCTGTTGTTGCCAATAAAAAAACTTTTTATTAAGAATTTTTAATGTAACATCTGACTTGTAAGGAATTTTAGTGACTTAAGAACAAAAAAGTCTTCTGTTTATTACATCACATTTAACTATTGAATTCTGTGGTGCTTTGGTAACTAGACAAAAAAAGTTAGTCATTTTATTTCAGCACAAATTAATTAAAATTAAGAAGCATAAAGCTTGCAAAGCTGTAAATTTTTAAAAATGAGAAATACAGACTTATAGGAAAGTGTACATATCTGCCCAAAAACGTAAACAGTTCCAAATTGTAAAAGAACCTTTACCATATTTAAGCTCTGAAAAGAGCTTACTCTTCATGAAAATTAATCTAAAATACTATAAGGTCTTAAATGCGCAATAAACGATTTAAATAGTACCTTGTCGTGATTTCACGCTATCATTTTATTTTCTCATTTCTATGATATAAGCTGTCAAAAAACCGTAGAAATTTTTGAACGTTCCAGTTTTTTCACTAAGATTACCATTTCTGCCAATAATTCCTGTTTATTCATTTTTTAAAAAACTTAATTCTGACACAAAATTAGCTCATCTGTTGAACGATGTTTAGATAGTGGCATCAATTGAAGAACCAAAAGACTGCACTTTTATTTCACGTTAAATGCTGTTAGAAACCTACCAGGGTTCAAAAAGAGTATAAATGGCGAACAAGCGAAATACATAAATATTGGCTTCAAAAAATTAAAATTTCAAGACTTTAAGTAATTGCTGTAAATAACTTCATAAGCAAAAAATATTCATCTATTTTGCGGTTAAGGCTGGTTATTAAAATCTTTGGTGACCATTTATGATAACAGTTATGATTCACCTGATAAATATTTGAAAAATTAAAAAGCTTTACACGCTTTGGCTCAATTTAAAAATATTAACTTATTTTACAAATTGAAATCTGCATTTATTTTAGGAAGTAAAAGCAGCAAAACTCAAAAAAAACGCAATATTTTTTTATTTAAAATTTTTAAGAAATTTTATACTTTTTTAAAAATGCATCATTTCTTGGTTACCGATCCAACAAAAAATGAATCAAAAGAAGGTACTTTTAAGTGTCAATCAATTATCAGAAGACAATGGTACTGAAAAATACAAGTTATTATATCGAACTTTTCGCTATTTACTAAACTTCCTTGTACAAAGGTGATCAATGACTTTCCAGAGAACTTTTTCGAAACTTTGTTGTTTTTCTGAATGTACGCCATTATTATTATCATCATCATTATTATTATTATTATCATTATTATTATTATCATCAT